TTCACAATTGTACAGTTTCTTTTTACTATATCTTTGATCAAATAAATGTATTATTAGAATAGCATGGCGGCCGAGAGAGCTCATTAACCTTTTCTTCATTAACATTTTCTTCACTAAATAATTTAAACATTCTGAGTAAAGAGCAGAGAATAAGTCTCTCATTTAGATTTTTGTTTATTTACATTAAGGTATCACTTTAAAAAACGCACAGATCCATAATGAAAGCATTCTATTGCTTTCCTAACATTTTATGCTCATTTAAGACAAACAGAGTTGTGTTTTAAAGAAACCCTCCAAGATCGACATCTTTAAATGTTGTTGTTGTTGTTGTTGTTGTTGTTGTTTTTATTATTATTATTATTATTATTATTATTATTATTATTAATTATGTGTATATGTTTATTCAAACATTCACCCAAAACCAAGAGTGTTATTTTTGCTTGGCTTTAAATCGTGTGTACAGAATTTATTTGGGAAACAGCATCTATTTATCAGTATCAGTAAGTGTTGTAAAAAAAACAAAAAATGCAGCCCGTTTTTGTTCTCTCAGCCACTGTAGAATAAGCTTTTTTTTTTTTTTTTTTTAAACATAAATAAACAGGAATGCAGATGTTTGTGGCCCACAATGTGATATAAATGGATGGAGTCATATATGGTTCATTTGTGAACTGTGATGGGTAGCAACAGGCAACAGGGTTTCTGTGATGCTGTGCAATATAGTTCATGCTTGAAGACAAATTAAATTTTTTTATTTCTTCAAAAAAATAATTGTCTATGTGCCTTCAGGTCATCCTGTTATAACGTGTAGTCATGCCACTCTTTGTAGTCTCATGGGTATTTTTTCCCCATTTTTTGGTAGTTCTTCCCGACTCAGCGACTTTTTGTTTTTGTTCCAGTTTATTAAACCTTGTGTTTCATCATCAACTCCAAACATAATTTTCATCGGGATGTGCTTGAAGGCTTCCGGATTGTTCTTTCATATCTCAGGAGCTTTCGTTTTTGTTTCTGTTCTCATTTAAATATCAAGTTTTCCTCCTAGAAATACATTGGAGAAATACGATTAGACAGAATATATGAGTAATGTTTACATTTAGTTTAGATTTCGTCTTGGAAGGATTTGGTGAACAATGTTTCAGATCTCTGACATTTCAGAGACAATCTTGATCAAATGAGGAGAAATGTTTGATAAGTAATTAATCCAAAAAGTACAAGCAAAGATGTTCACACACACAAAATAAGTCACAAAGATTTGGAATGACACAAGGATAAGTAAATAATAACAGCGTTATTACTTTTTTTTGAGTTTGGGGAAATATCCCTCTCAGGGACTTTCCAAAAGTTCTGTTCCTTTTTATGAACTAGTCAAAGTATTAATTTATTCCTTTTTTTCTCCCTGGTTCCTTAAACTTTCATTCCCATATTCAGTCTGACGTCATGTGCCACAGTTACCAGATATATCACAATATATTGGCTCAACAAAAGTTAATTTTACACTCAGAATTTGCTGCAATTCTACTGAAAATCATGCTTATAATGTTTAGGTCAGTGCATAATCTTGTAATTTTTATGTCTATGCCTAATCTGATAAAGTGATTTGTCTATCATTAAAATAGACAGTCCAGAGACTGTAGTGAAAAAGAGGATTTTGTAAAAGATTCAATTTAATTTGTGATACAGTATGACTGATATGTGATTTTCTCAATTCAATTAAGTATAGGCATGGAGGAACTATTCAGTAGGTCATAAGTAAAAGTGAACTGATCCACGTTTTCTTGTTGTTCATTGATGTATTAATTATGTATTCATTAATTCAGCTATTTGTTAACTTTACTATTCATGTGTTGTTCTTTATTATTGGGTGAGAAAATTGATTCACTTATTTAGGCATTTCTCGTTTATTCTCGTATTGGCTTGTCAATTAATATGTTTTTTAAATTTAGAAATTTATCATTAGGTCATTGTTTACATAATTTATTAAGGATTTACTCAAGCATTCGTTCATTTATTTTTGGAGTCTCTTAAGCTCTTTCAGTCTTTCATTCATTATTTAGATAATTTTTCTTTTCATTCACAAGTAATTATCTAGGCCTGATTTGCCCAAAAGTTTTCTTATAAAGGGCCAAAAACCAGCCTTGATTGAGGCTAGTGGGCCAAAAGTAGTTACCATTGGTAATTTCCTAATTAATTTGAAAACAACTAGAAAACATTGCTTTATATTAACTGATACAGCATAATTCTTTAACATGAAATTATTATGCATCTGTAAAAAATTTTTAATGGCTCACCATCAGGCATATGATGCACATTTTCAAGGTATACAATAAAGGTTTTAAAACCGCAAATATTTTCTGCTATACTGTTCCTAAGGTGTGAGTAAGATTTAAAAAAAATTTTTTAGCGTTTTTTAGGTCAACAGTATCTCGAGCAGAAAAGATTCTGAACAAATAAAAGGTTTAAAACAAATGAAGACACTGGAAGTAAATGATTCATTTTAATTATTTAGTCTGACATGTTTACTGTTACAAAATATTCTAAATGTTTCTCAAAATATAATATATTGTGTTTAAAAGTGGAAAAAGTTGTTTTTTACTCAGACATTTAAAAAGAATATATTTTTAGAGCAGTAATCACAGTACCGTGAAACTGTGATATTTTATCCAAGGTTATCATACCGTCAGAATCTTCCGGCCCATGCTCACCAAGGTTTTCTGCATTGTCCTCTGTGCGTTGAGTGACATTGCTTACATTTTTAAAAATCTGATTCATTTACCACAATTAATTAAAACATTTCATTTCAGTTTGCTTTTTTTGGAGCTCAGCAATAAAACAAACAAAAAAGGTTACGTCAAATAGAAATGACTCTCTATGACTTTCCATCTCTATGTTAAAGGCAATCGCCCCATAATCTCCATCCATTCTCAGATGGGATGGTGGGCCAAATCAAAGGCTACAATAGGCCTACTTTGGCCCACGGGCCCTACTTTGGGCATTTTTGATTTAGGCCATTTGTTAATTCATTCATTCATTAATAGTTTTTTATTATTTTGTTCATTAATTTTTGATAATTTGTTTGTTTATTTGTTCATTCAGAATGTCATTTACTCAGTGGCTCAGGTCCTTCATTTTCTTATTCAGTTAATTCCTCTATTCATTTGTTCATTCATCTATTTATTCATTCAGGGATTCATTCAGCTGATTGACCCATCTGCTATATCATTTTTTATTCTGGTCTTTTATTTAGCTCTCTACTGCTCGCATTATGATTGATCTATAAAACAATATATAATTTGACTGTTTTCTTTTTCAATATGGCTGAACTTGAAGTGCTGTAAAATTTGAAGGTACTTTATGAAATGTTGCCATATGGCAACAATGTCCAACAGTGGATCTAAGTTAGAAATTTCAAGTTTAGAACTTTCTTTATAATTAATAATTTTGCTGTTTGAAATAATTTAAATGGTGTTGCAGTATTGTAAGCTTTAACACAAAACTTATAAATGACACATTATACACACTTTCCAACAACTGATATTCCAACAGCTTGCATTTATTCCATTCTTTTTTGCTGAATGGTATTGAAAAAAATTATAATATTTCATTATCATGTACATAACATACAGTAAAAATAAATATTTTCTCCTGTAAATATTTTAACAAATAAATAAATAACAAGCCTAATATATCCAGATGCATCAAAATGATGTAGCTACTACGTCACCTTATAATTATAAGGTTGTATCTGACATTTTTTTTAATTAAGTTAATAAATTCTTATAAAAAACATCCTATAATGTAAATAAGATGTCATTTAATAAGTTGTTTACATATTAAGACTTTTTATTTAAAAACAAATGTTACACACATACTGTTTGCTATGGAATACAAAAAATTTGAAGCTCAATATCTCAAAATCATTCAGAACGCAGATACAACCTTGTAATTCCAATTCCAATGCTACGCCTGTCTTATACTGGATGCCTCAGGGCTAACTTACTGGAACTGTCGATGGCTTTATCAAATGTCCATTCTACATCATTCTCATGGTCACTAAACCCCATCTCATCCTCACTTCATCTGCAGAAAGAGCCTGTCCTTTTCTTCTCTCAGGTGATATCTCAGATTTTTTTGTGGATCTGACATGAGTTGATCCTTTGTTTTTATTGGCGTTTTTATTTGCATTCAGCAACCACACTCAATAAACACCAGTCTGTCAGAAATCACGCCACAGAAACACACTTCATGTCATGTGACTTAACCAAAGCACATCATTGGCTACACTAAGGTCTCTCTTTCCAACAACAACAAAAAATTAGAACATTGGTCTTAAAGAAATAGTGAAAGAGAAATGAACATACATGTCATGTTGCCATATGGCAACACCATGCGGTAGAGGGTTAGTCATTCGTCCACTGATTTATTCATTCATAAATTCATTTGGTCTGTTGTGTATTTGAGTCATTTGTTCATTTATTCAATCATTCAGTCATTGTTGTTTTAAACTAATTTGAAGGTTTATTTATTTGTTTATTTGCTTTTGTTTTTTCAGCCGTTCATTTAAATCACTGGGTGGTTAATTTGTTTGCTTTTTTATATTTTTGGTAATTCATTCATTCATTTGGTTGTTTGTCTATTCATCGATTTATTTGGTAATTTGTTAGCTCATTTGCTCATTCATTTGGCCTTTCATTGATTAATTAGTTCATTCATTATTTGCTCTTTAAGTCTTGTTCATTTATTTAATAATTCAGCAGCTCATTAAGGTGTTTGTTTGTTCAGGATGATTATTTGGTCATTTGTTCATGTGATTCATTCATTCAGTGATTCGGTCAGTCATTCATTCATTTACTGCTTTTCTTACAGCATCACATAGCCCCTCCTATCTGACTTAAGCCCCTCCCCTTCTCTCTGTCTCTCTCTCTTCCCAACTCTCTCTCTCTCTACGTTTATCTTCCTCTCACACTCCCTCTCTCCCCTTCATCTCACCTCCAACTACTCAGTGTTCAGTCTCCGTCCTGCTCTGTATCTGTCTCTCTCTCTCTTTTTCCCTTTCTGTCTATCTCTCTCTCTCTTCCTCTCTTTCTCTCTCTCTCTTTGGTGTGCTCAAGCTCCAGTTTGGTTCGCTGTCTGTCTGTGTGTTGCCGGTCTCGTTCCTCTGCAGACCTGAACCTCCAGCTGAACCCGGGACTCCAGCTCACTCTACAGCGGGTAAGACAATGGCATGCACTACCACCACACTCAGGGAAGAGTTATGGAATGACTACAGACAATAAAACAAGGATCTCTTGGATGGGATGGAGAGGGAAAAAAAGAACAAGTACCACACACAGCTTATAGGAAGTAAGACAGATAGTAGAAATGGGTGAATTATCAAGTATGCATAAGAGTAAGACAGTTAGTGGATGCAGAAAGCGAGTGGTCGTCTCATGTCAAAGTCAGAGTGGCTGCAACATCATCATCATGTAATATCCCATTCACAAACCACAGCTGAGCTCTGCCAGCACTCTGCACTGTGTGTGTGTGATGGGGGAAAGAGAGCGCTTGTACAGCATTACTGAAAATGTAATAGATCACATCTAGTGAATATAGGACTGTAAAATGAAAATAGACTGGCAGAGAGTTTTATGAAGACACAGATGAACTTGATGAATCGCTCGTTAAAAAGCCATTTAAACTTCAACACCATGATGAAGGCAATATTGCATCTATCTATCTATCTATCTATCTATCTATCTATCTATCTATCTATCTATCTATCTATCTATCTATCTATCTATCTATCTATCTATCTATCTATCTATCTATCTATCTATCTATCTATCTATCTATCTATCTATCTATCTATCTATCTATCTATCTATCTATCTATCTATCTATCTCTTGTGATGTTGAAGTGTTGTTTCTGTTAATTGTTTTTCTAAATACACCCTGGTTAATCTGATTCATGAACTCTTCCCAATTTTTCTAATTTACAGAGGAAATGATTTCATTTCAAGTAATATTTTGTGTTAATTGTGTGGTGTCTGTAAATTGATTTACTGCTGTCACTTTTCTAATTGTGCACCTTTTTCATCTTTGATGCATTCCAATTTGCGTGTGTACACATTATTCTATGCATTTTCTTCGTATAAATAGTGAAAGGTACTGTAGATACAGTGCTCAGCATAACAAAGTACACCACATTGTGAAAATGAAAATTTTATCCATTTCTCAGTGTATGTATTTTGGTGCATTTAAACAAAACAGATTTAGTAAACTGATATATTTATTAAAATCATATTTTAGTCACTAAACATTTTTAGAAATTAGATTTTTTAAAAATATTTCCCAAATGTTTAACGTTTAAAAGCAATTATTACAATTATTAGCCCCTTTAACTATATTTTTTTCGACAGTCTACACAGAACAAACCATCGTTATACAATAACTTACCTGATTATCCAAACCTACCTAGCTAAGCCTTAAGTTTAAGCTGTATAGAAGCGTCTTTAAAATATCTAGTCAAATATTATTTACTGTCATCATGGCAAAGATAAAATAAATCAGTTATTAGAAATGAGTTATTAAAACTGTTAATGTGTTGAAAAAAATCTCTCCATTAAACAGAAATTGGGGGAAAAAATTAACAGGGGGGCTAATAATTCAAGGGGGCTAATAATTCTGATTTCAACTGTATATGAATATGCACTTTAATTGCATGCAATTACAATTATTTAAACTAAAAAAGTAGAATGACTCTTCATGCACTAAATTTCTATCTCTTTTAATGCTTTTTGGAGGGTGCGGGGCTGTCAGACTGCTAAATAAAAAGATAACCTATTATAATTCATATACACTGTTCAATGCATAGCACATAAGTATACATAGAGCAAAGGACATCATATAGGACACAGTCTGGTATATATATTCTGTTTAACGGAGAGAAGATTTTTTCAATACATTTCGAAACATAATCGTTTTGATAACTGATGTCTAATAACTGATTTATTTTATCTTTGCAGTAATGACAGTACATAATATTTCACTAGATATTTTTCAAGACACTTCTATACAGCTTAAGGGACATTTAAAGGCTTAAATAGGTTAATTGGGTTAACTAGGCAGGTTAGAGTAATTAGGCAAGTTATTGTATAATAATAGTTTCTTCTGTAGACTATCGTAAAAAAAAATTTGCTTAAAGGGGCTAAAAACTGCTTTTATTCTTGCCGAAATACAACAAATATGACTTTTTCCGGAAGAAAAAACATTATTAGATATACTGTGAAAATTGTCTTGCTCTGTTAAACATTCTTTTTGGAAATATTAATATATATATATATATACATATCAAAGGGGCTAAATATATATCTAAACACTTGATTTATAGGTTTGTTAAGATCCTCTTTTATCTTTATTAACCTTTTAGCTGCCATTGTTACAACTTGGTGGACTAGTTGCCTGTCTTTAAAACAAACAAACAAGGGGAAAAAAAGCGTGATCAACCCAAGATGTTGATCAAAAATGTGTTTTACTAACAGTGGAATTTAAAGAGATGAGGAGGGTCTTGGTGATTGCAGGTTTTACCATTTTTTCCCCCTGTTTTTTAAAAACATTTGGTCCACACAATGCAGGCAAAATCTCACCATACTGCTTTTATTTTAGTCCAGTTGTTATTTTGCACAATCTGCATCTACAACTAGCACAGAAGGAGAAGAAGAGATTCGCAAAAACAGCAGAGAATGACCGAGGAAAAAAGCTT